TAAAATAGGCAAGATTCGTTGTTTCCACTTTTGCTGTTCACGGAGAATTTTGAAGTCGAGGATTTGGATGAACGAGAAGAGTGAAGGGGAATACAGACTCTTTCTCTTCGTTCTGGAAAGAGTTTCAGAATTGGAGCTTGTCAAGAAATTGACTCTTTTTTGTTTTGCCAGGTCTTTCCAGCAGAAGAGACGGGATTTGCCATTCGGCGTCCTGGCGTTCTCGTTCTCGACGCTTTTCCCTGAAGGACGGGGTTTGATGGAATAGAACTGATGGAATGGAATAGAACAAAGGCCAGTTTGGCATGTTTTGGTCTCGATTTTTTGATCTGAGTCTGGAATTGAACTAAACCAGACCGAGTCTGGAATTGAATTAAACCAGACCGAGTCTGGACCCAACAGTACTGACCCAACAGTACAACAGTACCCAACAGTGTCAAAGCACGGTCTAATATACCATTCTTAATCTTGATTCGATTGTTGACCGGACTTTAAAAAGATGATTGGAATTTGGTGGTTGGATTCAAATTCGTGACCTCTCGTTTACACCGACAAGTGCTCCTTACCGCTAGAGCCTTTTGCCTTACGAGGTATCTTGGATCCGTCAACTCGGGCTCTACACTTTCAACTTTTGGCTCTTTAGCCTCGAGGTAATAATAGTTTTTAGACAAAAATCTCTTTATCATTTTTTCTCCGAACCTGAAAATATAAAACATGACTGATAAGAAGAGAAGGCCGAAAAGAAGAAGAACCGATGCCCCGATCACAATGTACATTCCACTCTTTGCCCAATCAGTTAATGGACAAGTTGTGCCATCAAAACTGAAAAAGATCAAGGAATTATTGATCTCGTCGACAGCTACCCGCAAATCGGCGTTGCAAGCGGTTGAACGCCTCCTCGCACCGCCCAAACGGTTTTCGATGCATCCTCATAGGTCGGGTTAGCCAGCTGAAGGTTTAAATCCAATTTTTGAGAATTTTGGATATCACAGCTTACAATGTAATCATAATTCCCAGCCCAAGTGAAATTTGCAAATTGGGATGAGGTTCCAGAAGGGGGTGATTGCATAGAGATACATCTTTGGAATCCGAGTCATGTTTGGAGTCATTTGAATGGATCCCGACCACCCTAGGGTACCGTCATTTAGATGAATGAATGGGAGGGAAAACCTGTAAAAGCGACTGTCGACCGGACTTGGTTGAAAATTGATTGATTTCTCGAGCCTTTGACTGGATCCAAGGCAAGCGAGCCATTCAAACAATAGACGTACCACATAAAGGCATCGTAGAGTTGAGGGGCGAACGAACCGATCTGAGAGGAGGGTGAATGAGTGCTTGGAGTTTCCTAGGGTTTGTAAGCCAGGCAAAGCCAGGCAGGCCGGATTCTACCGGAGCCAGGCAGGCCGGACTTGAATCAAGAGGAATTAAGAACTTTAGATCAGTTTCCTAAGGTTTGTAAGTTGGGTCAAAGCCAACCAAGCAAATCAAACAAACAGAAATACAATTCTGCGGTTTTGCTCATCTAAAATCATTTTGACTGGGATAGAAAAGTAGTCAAAAATGACAAATTGCATGATCATACGATTTGGACACTTTCGTTGGACACAGCAGCTCAAATTTGCATTTCATGCGGACATTTCATGCAAATTCAATAAAATGAGTCTAAAAGCTTGCCCCGCTATATTTCTGATCATTCGTCAGGCAATCGGTTGTAGCACAATAGAATGGTGGGCCTCGGACATTGGCGCGGGACAATTGGCGCCAATTGAGTGGTCGTCGATCCGTTGACTTTGCCTTGATTTGTAAGATCGATCTGGAACATCGGATTTGGCTCTAGATGCCAAAGTATATAGGTTGAATATCAGGAAAGCTATACTTTTGAAGCTATACTCACCACCAAGAAATTCCTCGCTGCTTGTGCCGCCACAGCATCCAGTTCCCATCAGCATTCGAATTCACCGTGTCATACCAGAAAGGGGTTAAACCGCTAGGCACTAAATGGGATTCACGTCAATAATCATGGCTGCATTTAGAACTACAGTAAATGATTAATAAAGAAAAGCTTTGCTTACAGTAATCTCAAGTAATCTCACTAGACCGGTCGACAATCGCTTTTACAGGTTTCCCCCATTCATTCATCTAAATGACGGTACCCTAGGATGGTCGGGATCCATTCAAATCACCCCAAACATGATTCGCAGATCATAGCCCGGGTTCCAAAGATGTATCTCTATGCAATCCCTTCTGGAACCTCAGCCCATACTGATAAGAATACTGATAAGAAGAGAAGAAAAAAATCTCATTTTGACCTTTCCAGCCTAATACAGTAATCTCCTAACTGAACGTCGCTAGGACTTATAGAACTTGAATAAGTTAAAATAGCCTCATAAATATTCCTCTAGCATTTCTTTACCGTACATTTCATCATATTCGCTCCTCCTTGTGCCAACTGCCCGAATCCAAGGCCAAGCAAGGCGAGGACCACATAGACATAATCGGAGCTAAAACCATAGTTGACAATGATTTCAAAATAGAATGAATGGCTGAATCCGGAGTTGAAAATTGAAACATTGTCTCTTGCTCCTATTTGAGACTCTAGTCTGAGACTGCAGGAAGTCTGAGACTGCAGGAAGTCTGAGACTGCAGGAAGTCTGAGACTGCAGGAAGTCTGAGACTGCAGGAAGTCTGAGACTGCAGGAAGTCTGAGACTGCAGGAAGTCTGAGACTCCAGGAAGTCTGAGACTGCAGAGTCTGAGACTGCAGGAAGTCTGAGACTGCAGGAAGTCTGAGACTGGGAAGTCTGAGACTGCAGGAAGTCTGAGACTGCGAGTCTGAGACTCAGGGAGTCTGAGACTCCAGGAAGTCTGAGACTCCAGGAAGTCTGAGACTCCAGGAAGTCTGAGACTCCAGGAAGTCTGAGACTCCAGGAAGTCTGAGACTCTGAGACTCCAGGAACAAATGTCCCTGTCTTACTCACGTATTCCTTCCGGCTTCTGTGGTTGCAATGAGGAAATCTCTTCGGACTTGATCTGTCGGTAAGCAGACGCCGATGACTGTAAGAAGAAAATATCAGAACTTTGACAGGTTAGGCTTTTTGGATAAAAGAGATCTGGCTCAAGTCCACGGAAAAGTATATGACTTTCATTTATTTAACATATTCAGTTATTCAGGAACTTTGTTCAACGAAAATAAAGAAAAATCTCATTTTTAGGTATTCTCTAAAAACTGGATCAGTCACTATGCTCTTGATTTTTAGATTTTCTAAAAGCTGGACAACCTACAGCACTCCTAGCTACAGCATTTCTTTAAAAACTGTCAAAACTACAGTACTCCTGGCCCTCGATTTCACTTTCTTCAACGTTGCAATCATCGAGGCTCTTGTTGAGCCGACGTCGAATTTCTCAGTGGCGGCGATGATGGTCGAGTTGGAGGTTGGATCAGAGAAAGCTGTCTGAAAATATTAGCGTACGGTAGGGTGCTGTAGATTGGAAGAAATTGGAAGAACAATTGGAAGAACAATTGAAAATCTGCACGTAAAACACCTGAAAGCCTGAAAGCTGTCGGATACTAGGTCAGATCTCACTTCTGTGCCTTCCAGATTCAACTTTCATGAGCTTAAAGATGACTCAAACCAACCGTAACGTCCCCTATCAGATTTGGACAATTCCCGTAGCCGGCATTAGTGTAAATAAGGGCGATTACGTCCCTGAAAGCTTTTTTAGAAAAAGAAAAACCAACAAAAGTTACCAATCGTATAACTGACACAAAGAAACAAAGGCATAGCCGAGCCTGAAATGACAATTAGAAAGAAAAACTTGTTCTGACCTACTGTCGATAATTCGATGAGACCGTTGTCATAAATGGAAAGCGCGCAGAATCGGCGAGGGTGGCCGCCGAAGAGAAACCCCAAGCGATCTGCAAAGTTATCCATGGATTTTGCAAAGTTATCCATTAGTTATCCATGGATTGCTTCCAACCATCATTTTCTAATCGAGTTACTCTAAAGAAAATATTCTGGAAGCTAGCTAGGCATCCAGAAGTGTCCAGGTTGGCATAGCCTGTCCTGCTTGGCATAGCCTTTGCAGACAAGTACCCGGATACTTTGGTGCTAAATTTATCAGAGCCAACGTACCTGCGGAACCTGATAATAGGTGCTGAGAAGGCGGTTGGGATGATTCCTGAAAATGAGATTCTTTAAAAAAAATCGCTTATGATTTTACCTGAGCTACAAGCTGGTCCCAAAATCACGTCAACCATTCGATCTGTGAGCAGATAAACCACTAAACCGGAGACGTTTGCCTCGCTGCAATCGGTGTAATTGACAACAAATCTATAAAATGGCATAATTTATATTTAAAATTTTCTAACTCACTCAAACTCTATTGAATCCAATAAATGAAGGTCTGCGATTTGCTGAAGAGCCAATGGGATCACTCCGCCGGTGATCGAGAAACCGATATTCGCTTGCTGGCTTTCGGTGACTGAATAAGACTGAGTCATTGGTCGCGAATAGGACTGAGTCATTCATCAATTTCTCATTCATCTTTGCAATCCATCTATTCTACAGTTATGTTTATATACCGTATTTATTCTAATAGAAACGTTCAATCTCTATTAAAAGTAACAACTACCGGAAATACCGGTAAATACTGTAATAGTACTTACCGCCCTCGTACAGTCGCGTAGTCATGCAAAAGTTTTTTTAGTATTTCATTGGTTTTTCAAAGCGCCCGTACTTTCAAAAAATGCGTAGCCGGTATCAAAAAATAGCTGAAATTCAGGCTATTTTTGATACCTAAACGAGCATTGTAGCATAAACCAGTGTCGAGAACAACGCATCCAAAGCTAGACTACACAACACTCCGCACGGTCATTATGGGGGCGGGGTACTATTACAGTATTTACGGTATGGATATTCAGCTTAGTAGACCGAGTTTATCCCGAGTTTTCAGCCTTTAAGGATATGTAAGGCGTTTCCTGAAAAAGAATTTCTTTCTTTATCATCTTTGTCTTGCATCAGCAGTGGCAATTTTGTGCAATTTTGCATCAGCAGTGGCATCGGCAGTGGCATCAGCAGTGGCATCAGCAGTGGCATCAGCAGTGGCATCAGCAGTGGCATCAGCAGTGGCATCAGCAGTGGCATCAGCAGTGGCATCAGCAGTGGCATCAGCAGTGGCATCAGCAGTGGCATCAGCAGTGGCATCAGCAGTGGCATCAGCAGTGGCATCAGCAGTGGCATCAGCAGTGGCATCAGCAGTGGCATCAGCAGTGGCAAATTTCCCTCGCAATCAGGTACTAAGCTTCTATTGGGTCAAACTTGTCACTTCGATTAAGTATTTTGCTATTTATTTTGGATCTACAGTGGCGGACAATTAAATAGAACCGATGCTCGATTTGAATTTGAATGAATGGGTGTGAAAATAATGGAAAATTCGTGGAAATGGATTTCTTTGTGCAAATGGAGCATCGGTTCTATTTAATTGTCTAGATATCTTTGGAATAGGTTTCTTTATCACTTACCAATCATCCCAAATCATCTAGATTTTTTTGGAACAGATTTCTTTATCACTTACCAATCATTCCGACCACAAAAGTCGTTATTTCGCTTTTTGGGGAAGTTGTGATTGTTGGTGCTGGGAAATCGGTGAGTATTGTCGGGGTGGTTGAAGAGAATAATGGTTGTGCTCGTGCTTGTTGTTATCTAAAGAGTCCGCTGAAAGTTGCCGTGTAATTTCACTCAGAAAGCTACCGTAACCTTGCTCAAAAAGTACCGTTGTATTTGGGAATACAGTTGTTGGTGGCAAAGGGAGCGTCGACTGCGCATCGAGCGATTGAAATAAGATCAAGACGAAAATAAAGGGCAACATTTGGGGATTACGGTAGCGGTCGTCTGGAAATTGAAATATCTATGCTATAAATAACACAGTGTAGCGAAATTAGCCAAATCTGTATAGCCAAATTACTTTGCGTACTTTGTGTCCTGGTAAACACTCGCCTTCTGACACACAGGCGGGCGGTTTCTCTGGGTCCCAGTGAGCGGGGCGTTTACTGAGGAACTCAAAGTACACAAGAGCACTGCAGAATTGTGCGAATTTTCAGAACAGTATCCAGCTATAAATGACCACAAAAAATTAGAGATTTTGACCTGTCAGCTCCGAGCCAAACTGATATTTTAGTTACTATTGTTATTATTGAATGATTTTGTCTATTCTTATAAATGTGAGGACCCTTTAGTTATCCTCTTTATTGCGCTGCATGAGAAGTGGCGGTCCTTGGGATTGCCTAGGAGGACAAGGATTGCCTAGGAGGACATTTAGAGTCCCCCCTTCCCCTAAAATTGTACACCATATTCGTCCTATTATACTACTGTAAATAAAGATAGATATCTTCCGGGTCTATGCAACTGCAGTACAGGTCTTTCCATTTCACAGCGAATTCCCCTCTAAACGTTGGAGGAGTTGAGCTGGGCTGTCGGGGTGTTAGAGATGGCGGGATATCAACAGGGATCCACTCTCTGTAATCCTAACCCAAATTCTAGTCCACATCCGTTTATACTTAGGAACGTATACACCTTAGCTTTTCCTTTATTTTTCGGATACCCAGGATTTCGTGACTTTCAACCACCGTAATTCTTAACCAACTGATATCTATTTGGTTGTCGCTAGTCTCCATTTCCTAGTCTCCCTCCTAGACCCGTTCGAGATAAAACACTCAGGTAAGTAATTAGACAATGAAATATGATATTTGAAAAACGATGGTCACTTCGCGCGTCTGTAACTTGTTGTCTTTGAGTTTAAACTATTAGTGTTATACATTTTCTGGAAAGCTCTTTTCAAGGGCTGCCACAATGGTGAGAGAAATATTAATATTTAGAAATACGGTAAAGAAAAGGGAGTTACAAGACGCAAGAAAGTAACGGATCTTTTCAATTATGATATTTCATTGTCCAGCAGTGTAGGAACGGGATAGACCTGAGGAAATACCCCAAAGACCCTTGAAAGATCGAAAACTGGATCTGGACTGGAAAATCAAAAATCTGGATCAAAAATCTGAAATGAAGATCTCATAGGAAATGTCCAATCTTTAAATATCAAAGAAGTATTACGTGAAAATTTCTGGGTTTTCTGCCACAAATTGAGTTATTAGAGCGATATTGCGCTTAAAGAAAACACCATAAAAACGAAAAAAATCAGTGAGAAATTTAATAACCTTCCATACTTTTAATATCTCAAGCCTGTTCAAGAAGGAAAATTTATGAATATTTTATCCAATATTCATAAAACAGAATTGCGTATTTAGATTAATATTTGTAAGAAAAAGTAAGGGACTGAATATTGGATTAGAGATTGGGAGATTACGGGATGTGTCATGAGCAATTTGATCTCCTTTATAGTTCCTTTATAGTTCCTATTTAGTTCCTTTAAAGCTCCTTTAAAGCTCCTTTAAAGCTCCTTTATAGTTCCTATTTAGCTCCTTTAAACCACTACAGTGCTATTATTGACTTTAAAGTTGATTTAAAAGACAAAGACAAAGGTAAAATTTAAAAAGCTTGATGAATTTCTACATTTGTAGAACCAAATTTAGAGAGATAAGGAACCAGATCTAGGGAAAAGGAACGAAGTTTGGAGAGATAAGGAACCAAATTTCGTCGAACCGTCGAGGTCTCGGTCTGGAAACGAGCGCTGTACCACTTGGCGCTGTACCACTTGGCGCTGTACCACTTGGCGCTGTACCACTTGGCGCTGTACCACTTGGCGCTGTACCACTTGGCGCTGTACCACTTGGCGCTATACCACTTGGCGCTTTTGCAACTCTACAGAGCTGTTGAACCAAATTTAAAGAGATTTATAAAGAATTCCTTCAACTCCTTCAGGCGCTTCAAGATCCTTCCAACTCCTTCAAGTCCTTGAAGTCTTCCAAAAGCTCCAATTGTTGTTGTCGTCAATTTGACTGTCACTCCACATTGATCATTCTGTCCATTACAATAACAGAACTCCAGTTGCTGTCGAGTAACATTGAGCTTTCTTGTTGTTTTTGTTCGCTGTTGAGCAACATTTGCTGGAGCGACAAAGGAAATGATTCTAGCCATTGGACAAATCTACTTCTTCTTACCCTTTGTATAGCTTATTGGATACTTTGTTGAAAGCACATCGTCGATCAGTCACGAAACAACGTGCCAAACACTGTTTCCAACAACCAGAGTTTTCCCATCTCAAACAAAAGTGTTCTAGAACGATTGCTTGCAGAAAGACTTGATGATCTACAGACTTGGTCTATAGACCAAACCGTGAGCCAGATTCATGACTCCCTAACTTGTTCATGCGAGGCTAAGGCAAACCAAGACAAGCATCGGCTATCCCTAAACGTGCTAGGCTACCGTAATCCTGGCCTAGAACGGATCAATGATTAGTAAGTGATTCAGTGTGGTTTCTACAGCTATCTACAGCTGTCTACAGCTATTCATAGCTGGATCTACAGCTATTTACAGCTGGACTGTGGAGCTTCCCAAGCTCTAGAGTTCACTCTGGGTTTGAATTCAAATTCGATTCATTTCTTTCCATATCAGTTAGCATTATGTTAAAATTGAAAAGCAGAATATCTAAAATCATGGTTTCTTTTAATCCGCCAAAGCTTGGCAATGTCTGCAGAGGTCCACTACTTGTTTACTCCATCGGTTTGGCAGCGGGTAAACCCCATGACCGCCATCAACAACGAGAATAACATGAATTTGTGCATATTGTAGTAAAGAATTTTTGTATTTTCTAAACTTTAAATCAATACTTTTATAACCGATTTTTTTATAATTTTCAATGATTTTGACTGAAAAGCGACTCTTTAAAGCCGATTTTACTTTTGATCAATAACAAAAATAGAAGCGTTAAAAAGATGTTTAATGTACTGAAATTGGAATAAACGACAAGAATTAGGAACAGATTTAAAAGGATAAATGATTTATCCAGAGCTGCCAGAGTTACCAGAGCTCAACAGAGTTTGCTGAATATGAATATAATCAAAAACTTTATAAAGATTGATTTGTTAGTGAAAAATGAGAAAAATAGAATACTTTTCGTGTCTTTTATTTTTAAATCGAATTCTTTTCTTTAAATCGAATACTTTCCATGTCTTTTATCTTTTTCGATCTCTTTTTTACAATCTTTATAACCATATTTATCATTTAAAACATCTGAATTTCTCTTATTTTCTTCCAATTGGTCCACCAATTGGTCCACCGCCTGAATTTTGGGTCGTTGTTGTTGTTGTCACTGATCCACCGCTACATTGTGCATTTTGTCCATTACAATAACAGAGACCAGATGCTGTTGAGTAGCATTGAGTTCGAATTGTTGAATTCTTGTCAGCTGTTGAGCAACATGGGCTAAATTGAGATTGAGAGGATTGAGAGAGTACTGGACAGAGATTACTGGAAAGATTACTGTAATCTCTGTACAGTAGATCATCTTGCAGTACAGTAAGATGTCGTCCAGTAAACACTTGATTAGAAGCAAGGCTTTTTTTAAGCTAAAATTGTCAAAACTTTTCCAATACCTTTGATTTTTCTTGTTGCTTCTTTTCGGATCAGCACATTTTCCCTTTGTTGCAACGCATCGATCCACACATTCTCGCCAGCAACCACTGTTTGCCCATCTGTAAAGTTTGTATTTTTGATCTAGATTTGAAGAGGAATATCATTACTCACTGTCCAGATCCTTGTGCAATTGGACAATTGCACAGCTCCCATCCCTTGCCTTTAAAGTTGAATCCAGTGCTCGTTGATCGCGATTCACCGTTACAGAAATCCTGAAAGATTTATTGCTATTTGAAGACCATGTTGTTGTTTTTGTTTCAGAAGTGAATTCATCAAATCTGAGCCAAGTTCTAGTACTAATGCTGTACTAATGCTGCTACTGTCAAGAATGTACTATACTGTCAAGACTATGTTGTCAATGCTGTCAAGATTGTCCTGTCAATCCTGTCAAGACTGTCCTGTCAATATAATTAAAAACCCACAACACAAGAGGATGTCAATTTCTTTCGATTGCCGCCAGGCAACGGCTTGAACCCAGCCACCATAACCACGACGAGCAATGAGAAGACCACGAAATTTTGCATTTTCGAATTTTCCTGATCGGAAATGATTCCCTTTCAGTGTTTCCAACCTTTTATAGCTGAATTTGGCTCATTTCAAAGTCAAACTTTATGTGCGGTTTTACCCGCAAAGCTAATCTCCCATAAAACAAAACTCTCACTTCAGTTAGCTGACCCTTAGAAATACGATTTTAAAACCAAAGTTTACATCAAGCCAGCACATGGGAAAATGCAAAGTTGTAAAGCTTTAGAAACTGATAGACTTTAATTGGTTGATGTTTGGCTTTTGGGGTACGTACTGTAACTAAAGCTTCTCTTCGAGCAATTCGTTTTCTAAAACGTGACAAGTCCTTAGTTTTATTACTTGATAGCTTTTAAAAGTCAGGCAATTGAGTTCGTTATTTGTAAATTCTAGATTTATTTGGTATTTTATGAAAGAGTTATAGAATCTATTAGGTATTTCAAGAATAGAAACTGTAAAATGACGAGATTGCTGTGACATTACTGTACAGTCTTGGTTACGGGAAGTCAGATTAACTCGATTATGTGCCAGATTAGTTAAAGCTGTTGTGTCAAGCTTGCACTGCCAATCCTGTCAAGACTGTCCTGTCAATCCTGTCAAGACTGTCCTGTCAATCCTGTCAAGACTGTCCTGTCAATCCTGTCAAGACTGTCCTGTCAATCCTGTCAAGGCTGTCCTGTCAATCCTGTACTGTCAATCCTGTCAAGACTGTAACTAAAGCTTCCCCTTCGACCAATTAAGGCCCATTAAAAGCTTTGCAAATTCAAATGACTCTAATTTTTCTTATAGCCCACTGATCAACCTAAAAATTGGAATATAAATGTGAAAATGTTATAAAATTAAATGATAATAAGCTTTAGGTAGTTTGCCTTCATTATCAGCCACCGTTTAGGTTAGAATGACAATGGGATGGCAGTGGGATGACAGTGGGATGACAATTTCCCTTGTACACTATTATACTTACACGCTTACACAGAAAATTGTCAACCAATTGTCATTCCATTGTCGTTCTAACTTAAACGGTGGCCGATAATGAAGAAAGATTACGTTGAAACTTGTTAACATTTCAGCTAGTCGATGTTTTGTTGTTGATAAGTTCAAAGAAATTTATTGTACATCCATTAATCAAGTTTATCAGTTCATCATTTTCTTCCAAATCCTCCAATCACTGTCACTCCGCCGCCACATTGTGCATTTTGTCCATTGCAATAACAAAGACCAGTTGCTGTAGAATAACATTGCTCTTCGATTGTGGAATTGTTGTCAGCTGTTGAGCAACATGGGCTAAATGTTTGAGAAGATTGAGAGATTATGTACAGAGATTACTTTACAGAGATTACTGTACAGAGGTTACTTTACAGAGATTATTGTACAGAGATTGTTGTACAGAGATTACTGTACAGAGATTATTGTACAGAGGTTACTGTACAGATTACTGTAATCTCTGTACAGTAGATCATCTTGCAGTACAGTAAGATGTTGTTCAGTAAACACTTGTTGTAGGATTAGAAGCAGGGCTTTTTTTAAGCTAAAATTGTCAAAACTGTTCCAGATGACAGATGGACAGACAGACGAACAGATTTCTCTTAATTACTCACTGATGTGATCCTTGTGCAATTGGACAATTGCACAGCTCCCATCCGTTGCTTTTAAAGTTGAATCCAGTGCTCGTTGATGGCGATTCACTGTTACAGAAATCCTGAAAAATTTGTCATTTAAAGACGCGTTAGCTTTTTCAGAATAAAACCCGATTTTAGATCAGAGCCAAGTTCTGTTTGTCTCACTAGGGAATGGCCTTTTTGCCTTTTTTAAGTCGATTTTTGAATCAACCTTAGTTTATCTGATAGAGCTTTGAACGCTGATTTCAAATGTGATTTTAGTTTCATGAACGGAGCCCTATATCGTTAGTTATCTGGCAAACAAGTTTAGGTCGTTAATATAGAACTTTCAGAGCTAATATAGGCTTTCTTCCTTCCCGGAGGAGCTAAAGTTGCAGTAGTGTAGTGGATAGATGTGCCTCTTGTGCAATTGGACAATTGCACAGTTTTCAGTGCTTTTGAAGTTGAATCCGGTGCTCGTGCGTGCGGGTTTAGCAGTTTAGAGTTTAGCACAGAGTCTAGTAAAGGCAGAAAGCTAAAGAAATACGCCGTATAAAGTCTTCGTTTCGTTTAAATGATAAACTTTTATTCAAATTTAATAAATCGACAATAAATATTGCCAGAAGGTATGCGTTTAGCTAGAAGATAGCACAGAAGATAGCACAGAGTCTACATCAGAGTCCACATCTTGTCAATGTGGAGACGCTTTCACAATTCCTGAAAACAAGCATACTAATGTATTGAAAGTTTGTAATCATACCATAAAATAAGAAAAATATACAAAAAACCATAAAAACAGATAAGCAAAAAGTGAAATGGAGCTCATAACATAATACGACGTTGTTGCGGGAATTCTTGATCACCCTGTAGGTGAGTGCCGCTTGAGCTCAAGGATCGATTGTGGATGTGGAGACGCGGTCGATGTGGAGACGCGGTCGATGTGGAGACGCGGTCGATGTGGAGACACGGTCGATGTGGAGACGCGGTCGATGTGGAGACGCTTTCACAATTCCTGAAAACAACTATATTAATGTATTGAAAGTTTGTAATCATACCATAAAATAAGAAAAATACACAAAAACCATAAAAACAGTTAAGCAAAAAGTGAAATGGGGCTCATGCTCGCCGCTCGTCTGAACACCCTGCCGGTTGAGCTCAAGGATCGTCTTTTCTTTCGATTGTCGATGTGGAGACGCATTCACAATTCCTCAAAACTAGCATACTAATGTATTGAAAGTTAGCAACCATATCAGCAACCAAATTGAAAACTGCAGGACTTTGAACTAAAATTTATTCAAAATAAAACCATGAATTCATTCGAAATAATTTCCATTATCATTGACGTCTTCTGCCATTTTACAGACAATTTACGGATTCCTCTTTCGTGATAGGATTTTGGTTTTGGATCGAAAAACTTTCAAAGCCAATTTTTGACTGCTTCTTCCGAATCGAAGTGTTCTCCACTCCACAGTGTTCACCAAGCATTACTCATGGTCCGGAATAAATAGTAATCAGAAGGGGCGAGGTCCGGACTGTATGGGGAATGCGCCAAAAGTTCCCAACCGAGGCTGTTTATTTTAGAGCGAGTCAGTTTTGCAACAGGAGGGCGCGCGTTGTCGTGGAGGAGAACGATCTTTGACTTGAAGGACCTATTCTTCTTTAGGGATTCATTCACCTTCTCCAACTGTTCACTGTATTTGATTGCATTAAGGGTCGTCTTGCTATCCTCAAAATGTACTCAAATCTATTGGGTTGGTGAATTGAAAACCACCGGATTTTGAACTAAAATTTATTCAACATAAAACCATAGATTCATTGCAAATAATTTCCATTATTATTGACGACTTCTGCTCATTTTACAGGCAATTTGCGGCTTCCTCTTTCGTGGTGGGATTTTGGTTTGTGTGTGAGACAAGTGTGAGACTCAAAAATGGAGGACTGGAGATGGAGACTGGAGATCCCAGTTTGAGCACTTTCTTCAAAAGAAACCCATCTTGGTGTCAATAGAAAAGTTGTAGAGAATCAAAAATGAGGCTTATAGCCAAATTTCCAAAAAAGATACACTTAGTAGTTTCGCTTAAAATGCAAGTTTTGTGAAAATTCGTAAATTTGGCATTTCTTGAAAACCAGTATTTTGAATCGTTCTGAAAATTTGGATATAAGCTTGATTTTTGATTCTCTACAACTTTTCCATTGACATCAAAATGGGTTTCTTTTGAAGAAAGTCCTCAAACAGTGGCATATGACAATAGCCGGCAGTTTTCAATTCACCAACCCAATAATATGAACCAAATATGAACCAAATAGGAATGAAGTAGGAATGAAATATGAACCAAATTCACCTTCTCCAACTGTTCACTGTATTTGATTGCATTAAGGGTCGTCTTGCTATCCTTTGGAATCATTCAGTTGGGGTTTTACACAGGCAATTTGCGGATTCCTCTTTCGTGATGGGATTTTGGTTTGTGTGTGAGACAAGTGTGAGACTCAAAAATGAAGGACTCGAGATGTCCCAGTTTGAGCACTTTCTTCAATTGAATTGTATTCAATTGAAGCTTTGATTGTATTGAATTGTATTAAACAAAGTTTATTTAATACAATTCAATTCAATCAAAGCTTGTTTAAAAAAAAAAAAACTCAAAGAAACAATGTATTCATCTAGGAATGATTTTGATGAAAATTTTGAAAGAAAACAAACAAAAGAAACCTTTCACAAGAATATAGGAAAGAAAATTATTAAATAAACATATCCAATATGGTTCCAATATCTGAACGATATTGGAACGATATTGGAACCGTATTGGAACCATATTGGAACCGTATTGGAGCACTGTACTCAGAACAGCTGGATCAGGTCGGCAAACAAATCACAAGAAATCATGGAGAGGTATAGCATCTTGCATGACATGACTCTTGCATGACATTGCAAGACCTCATGTTGCCAATTTGAAGGAGCTGGGCTGGGAAGTTCTGCGCCGTATAGCCCTGACCTTGCCCCCTCTGATGTTCATCTTTTCCGGAAGCTGGCTGCAGAACTCGATGGGGATCAGTTCAGAGATAGCATCGAGGTCGAAAATTGGCTCCGCGACTTCTTTGATGTGCAGCCCAAGAATTTCTGGGATTCGAGCTCTACCTAATAAATCATCAATTCAAAACAGAAACATCAATTTTCACTTTTTTAAATGTACAACTTTGTGATGTTGTTTTTTTTTCTTTAAAATTCTTTTCTGATAAACGTTTCCTTTCAGAGCTATTGGTGACCAATTCGAGGAGATCTGCGAGAAATATTTGAGTGAGTTGAGATTGTGCAACACAGGGATTGAGGTGTATAAGCTTCTGCACTAGTAAAAAGAACTTAACAAACTTTTAGAAGCTCATCGATTTCGAAGCTCATCGAAATACAA